ATATATAATCATCCTCCATGAAAAATCTTTTATCGTTGACAGGACATCGTTTTCAAATCCTTTCACACTTCCAAACGTTTTTGTTCATACCTCATCATTGGTATCCAAATAATCGCATTGCCATTTCGAAAACGCTATCGGTGAATAATACATTTAATTTCCGTAGCCAATCATCCTTGATCCGAAGAGATATCATTAAAGACAATTAAATGAACTTCATTACTTTTCCAAGCATCAACAGAACAAGAACGGGAAAATTACATCGGAATTTGTTCATTAGTGATTAATTCACAGGATAATTGATGCCGTAGAAGCAAATCAATAACGCCTGTTTATGAAGATGAGGTGATAGATGACGGGTTGAACAGAAAAAGTAAATTCAGAACTTACTTTTCATTAGCATCGCTAAACCGAACCACTTTCATTGGGCGAGTCTTTTATATGCATATAAACACGAACAGATGGCAGTTACAGTGACTCAATTTCATTCCTTTAAAGTGATGAAACGTATCAAAAAAATTTTAGTTTTGACCGATGCAAACAACATACACGCACACAGATACATATAAAAAATACAGAACATGCAATTATCGATTCAATCATCGGCAACCAACATTACACCTCGTGCATGCACATTCATCTTGCTTGACCGTTCAATTCGTTGGCAAGTTCGTCATTTCTTTCAACTTCACCAGTTTTTTAATTGAGATTCACAATTGGTGTTTACAGTGAAGCGGCGTCTCGTTAATGAGACGACGCTTCGATCGTCATCCCCATTCACGTTTGGAATTCTCGTCGAATTGTTTGAACAAAAAAAAAATTAGAATGCTGTCAGGATTGGATTATGATACAATTGAGTGGTGACTTAGGACATGGTTCATTACATTCAAACAGACTGATTATCACCAAATATTGACCGTGAAGAATCACACTTGTCACGAGTTCGAACCATTGTTGTAATAGTATTACTGTTAACATTACTTACATTGAAATTATGTAATCGTGCAAGCTAAACTAATGACTTTCGTGAAGGAAAAGATTCTTATTGAGGTCAAT